AAAAAAAAAAGTAATATCAAGAAAATGGAATTTATTGTTTCAGACTTAAACGAAGTACTTTTCAATTCTTATTTAAATTATTAAATCCTAAATTAAATAAACAAAATAAAATAAAAATAAAATAATTATAAAAGTAAAATAATTATTGATTATTACAAACTTATACCTGTACGTGCTTTTTCAGCATCTTCACGACTAACTGTTACATTATATATTTTATTACTTTCTGAACATATGAGGCTTAACGTCTCATCACAGGGCGCCGCCATCTTTTCACTGCCAGTGCCTTACCTCGCCAGCCGCAGTAACGAAAGCAGGAAATTACGTCAAAATATATGACGTCACGTGTTAACGAAAGTACATTGAAAGCTTACTGCGACGTATTTCGGAACGACTTTGCAGTACTGCAAGTACTGACAGTGAGTTTCGGAACGCAGCCTGTATCGAAACTTGAAGCCTCTTTTCCGCGACACTGATTGGCCGTCCCGACTGTCTCGATTGGTTCGATCGAAATATGCGGCTAGATTTGATCCGTTTACAACTGTCAGATGCGTGTGACGGATCAGGTTGTGTATTTTACATAATTTTTCACGGCTGTCAGCATTGGTTCTTGCTATATTATTTATTATATTCACGACTGTCATCGGTCTTTGTAAGAATTACATCGATCTATCGATCTATCGACTATCAGCGGCGGACTCGCGAGTGACAAAGTTTGGTCGAAGATTGCATCACGAGGTGAGTATGTAACCGCGATTCGTTGCGGGTTTGAATCGCTCGTCGGATCGGGTTCGTGATAAGCGGAATAATTGAAAAGAACAGTGTTTTTAAAAATAATAATGAATAATATATTTAAATATTAAGCTGACGATAATGACAATATATAGATCGAACAATATGTGTCGACGCCGTTGGTTTTGGTTGTTTGTGTTACCTGACAGAGGCTTGTTTAGACGCCGGTTTGCGAGGTGTGACGCGCGGTGCGCGAGACGCGGACGACGTCAGTGTCGCGTATTCGCGAGTTTATTCTGTTGACGTTTCTTTCGGCGTCTTGTCTCTTAAGCGCGGTTGACACTTCTTCCAGCTATTTAAGTGGCGTTTTGGATTCATATAATGTCGCGGTCGTTGAGATTGCAGCGTAGCTGCACGCGGGATATTGCCTTAGCGGCGCTCCCTTCGATTTCCTATCGCGGAAATTTGAGTCGATTCGGTGTATGCGGTGCGGCCGTCGGTCCTCGTACACGGGACCTTAGCTCTCGGAGTTTCCTTTATGACTCAACGAGCTCGACTCATTCGGACACGATTTTGAATGCGGCCAGCGGTACCGCGGACCTTATCAGTGTCGGCCTCACGAATCCGTGAGCCGACGGCGGAGTAATTACAGTCGCCCAGCGACGAACAGTAATTTGCCAGGAGCGGAGTAAAGTCGAATGTCGATGACACGTATCCGTGTAACGACGGCGGAGTGATTACAGTCGCCAATCGACGAATAGTAATTTGCCAGGAGCGGAGTAGAAGCGAGTGTCGCTGACACGTATCCGTGTAACGATGGCGGAGTGATTACAGTCGCCAATCGACGAGCAGTAATCTGCCAGGAGCGGAGTAGAGTCGAATGTCGATGACACGTATCCGTGTAACGACGGCGGAGTGATTACAGTCGCCAATCGACGAGTAGTAATCTGCCAGGAGCGGAGTAGACTTGGTCTCTCTTAGAGTGGATGATCGGAATCGGATTCTCCTTCGAGAGCGGTAGATCGGGTCTGATTCTCTTTCGAGAGCGGACGATCGAATCTTCCGATTACGATTACGCGGCGTTTTATATCCCTCGAATCTCGCTTGATTCGCTATTTACCGCGGTTGTTCGGCGGTCGCGCTGTTTACAATATTAGAGGACGCGCTGTCCTCTTGCGCTCCTGATTCGCGTTGTTCTGCGTTTCTATTACGTAACGATATGCATCGTTACAAGTAAATGTCCAGAAAGTTATATTTTCACAGTTAGTAACGGCTTGATAGATTATATCTTTTGTTTATATTGATACATTTATGTGTTCTGCAAACATTTTGCCTGAACCTATATCACAGAGAGAGGAATCGCATCGTTCACAGCTGTCAGCATTGGTTCTTGCCGTGTTATTTATTATATTCACGATTGTCATTGGTCCTTGTAAAAATCGCATCGATTGCGGCTATTAGCGACGGACTCGCGAGTGACAAAGTTAAATTATCATTAAAATTATATCTGATTTCTTTTATACGTTGATTTCTTTTATACGTTATATCAAAATTTTACTTGTTCATTGAATATTAATATAATTATTAATTAATAAAAATATATTTTAATTTAATTTTATTTTTATTTTATATTTTTTATTGTTTCTTAGTAGCTAAATAGCGCGCGCCTATATTGTTTCTAGTAAATATAAAGTATGTGTGAATGATTTATTTAAATGTCACTCAATCATTTTTATAATTACATATTGTATTATTTACAGAATGTCATGCAAAGAGAAATCTACTTTGATAAACAAACATTACACATTGATAGAGAGAAAAATATTTTTACAAATACTTGAAAAATATAAACATGTAGTAGAAATAAAGAAAAGTGATGCTATAACATTAAAAGACAAAGATATCGCACAGAATGAAATATGTGAAACATATAACCAATCAGCATTGATCTGTCAAGAAGTAAGAACTATAATTTAGAATATAATATTATAGAATATACATGTGCTTTTTTCAATACATTGTCTTGTACGAAATTTTGGTATTTATAGAGAACTGTGCAACAATTAAAAAAATTGTGGGCTAATCTGAAGCAATCTCAAAGAGATGCCTTAACCAAAGAAAAGCAATCATGTCTAGCAACTGGTGGAGGACCACAGGAAGTAGAAGCAAGTATTGATCCTGACATCCTCAATATTGCATCACATCTAATGGAAATTGATCCTGACATCCTCAATATTGCACCACATCTAATGGAAAATGCACCAGTGTTATTCTTATCAAACATGACTGAAACAGAACTTGAAGGTAAGTCTAAAATTAATTATGTATTATGTAATCTTAATTATATCTATTTTGGTATTATCTTTAATTTAGATTATCTTTAATTTATATCTATTGATTTATATCTTTATTGAATCTTTTCTGATATCATATTTTACTTTTATGTTATTAACTTTATCTATGTATTTCAGATAAACGTGAGTTTACGTTAGACATAATATCTACGAATGAGAACGTAGAAAATCTATTAGATATTGCAAACAAAGAAAATTTGACAAATGATAACGATGTAAAAATTATTGTTTCACAAAGTATTTATTACATGAGTTATATATTTAAATGCTATTGTATTTTAATTATGACACATATAATAGCAAAAGTACTGATTTCTTTAAAATTAACTGTAACCTCTGAGCTTTTGGTAATATAAATCTATTTAGTTTTTTCTTATATCAACCTGTTTTATTTGATTAACTTTTATCATTTCAGATAAACATGAGTGCAATATAATATCTACTAGTAAAAATGAAAATGAAGTAAAAACAAGCATTTGCGAAGAATATTTGATCAGTGATGAGGACGATAAAACAATTGCTCATTCACAAGGTATATATGAGTGGCGTATAATTGGACACATCCAATCATATATCGTTGTTTAAAGAAATCGTGGCAATGTCTCTATGCACACGACGTTGTGGGTGGATGTGTCCAATTGTACATGTGTCCAATTTAATCTCTTCCGATATATATTACATACATTATATGTTTAAATGTTATTATGTGTTAATATTTATCTATGACATATACAAAATATGGGTGTATATCAGTTGGACATGGGGCAATTGGACACAGTCCAATCACAAGTCGCTGTTCCAAGGGACCCTACAAATGTCTGTAATCACACGGTGCTGTGATTGGCTGTGTCCAAATGCACCGTGTCCAAGTGCACCGCTCCCGTATTTTTGTAGTTTGTTTATTTATAAAATACATTTCCTCAACAATAAGAATGTTTTCAAAAATTTTTAATGACTGATGTTCTACATAACTGATAATGTGCTTTTTACTGTACAGATGTGTTAAAAACTATGTAAAAAATATAAAAAACTAAGGGCAAAAAAGTGTTCAGAATACAGTACACTATGCCGGAAAAGGTTAACGGACGCCGCACACGAATTGATATAACAGTAACGTACCGTAAGAATTGACCAATCACTTTAAGTATCGTCGAATCGTAAGGTCGCCATTTTTGTGAATGCTCGATTGTAATTGGTCCATTTTTACGGTACGTTTTACGTTACTGTTATGTCAATTTGTGTGCGGCGACTCTTAACCCTTAGTAATCTGATCTCAGATTGTCGAAATTCAAAATGGCTCGCAATCGCAAGATCGCAAGGAAATTGACCAATTATAATTGATTATTCTTCGATCGCAAGAAGAATAATCGACTATGATTAGTCAATTTCTTTGCGACCTTACGATTTGCGACTAATGTAGAATGAGTTTTATGTCGTTATACAAGAATGTGTGCTTCCCGCTTAAATATCTTATATTTTGTCTTTATATATGTATAATTTATGTACTGTCTCTCTTACTATTTGTTTTATAAGCCGATTTTAACTTTTTTTTTTACAAAAGTAACGGAAAGTAACGATTTTTTATCGTTACTTTTCAAATAACGATAACGCGTTACTTTTTAGAATCAGTAACGAGTAACGGTAACGAGTTACTTTTTACCTCAAGTAACGGTAACGGTAACGCGTTACTTTTAAAAAGTAACGTTCCCAATCCTGTATACACACACACATACACACACACACACACACACACACACACACTGGGAAAGATTCTTTAAATTAAAGAAATATATCATATTTTGTTAAATATAATTTCTTAACTTAAAAAAATATTTGTTAGCTTTTAGAAAACATCCCAGATAGCACAGAGAATTCAAAAAGAATTCAGTCGTATGTCATCAATTCTAAGTTCATTTTCAGATACAAAAAAATTCTTCAGAATTCAGTTCAGTGAAAATAATTCTTTTTGCATCTAAAAATGAACTCAAAATTGGTGACATACGACTGAATTCTTTTTTAATTCTCTGCGCTATGTGGGATGTAATAAATATAAAGTAATATCTTATAAATTTGTAAAATGAAAAATTATAAATTTCTTGATAAAAATGATATCTTTGATTTAAAATATTTATATATAAGAAACAAATAAACAAACGATTTCTTTATAAGAAGAAAAATATATTTTTTAAATGTAAAAACTGTGTTTAAATAAATATTTGTTTTAAAAATAAATAAAATACTAATAAATTATTTTATTACTTTAAATAAATTATTTTCTAATTTTAAAAGTATCTTTTTTGTGTCTCAAATTAAAGTTTCTTTTATTATCAGGAAACAATTTATATTTAAATTTACAAAAAGATTTATTTGTATTTTATTTACTTTCGAAACAAGTATATTTAACAAATATTTTTTAAATATACTTTTTACATACTTCTCAAACATACATTTTATATTTAAAATATTTCTATTCTCTTCTTTTAAATAAGTCATTTTGTTCCGGATGGCAGCTGGGTGTCCGTGCGGAGCGTGTACGGCGGGCGGCCGAGCCCCAGGCGCCGCTCAACTCGCGGTCGCCGGCCTCCCGCCGCCAGTGCGCGCCGTCGCCGCGACGCGGCGAGCGCGTCAGCCGGAGCCGCTTCTCGCGGTTAATTCTCGCTTGGGCGCCTATATAAGGCGCCGCGCGAGACAACTCGAGGCCTTTTGCCTTTTGCCAGCCTTTTGACTGCGGTTGCACATCAGGTCGCTGCCTCGTTGTGGTATTCTTTTGAACTCTACCAAGATTCAGATCGCCTTGTTGAGTGCGCAAGCACGTTGGGCATTTGCCTCACCAGAGGTATACTTTTGCATCTATGCATTGATCTTATCTGCCTTTTTTATCATTATTTGTCGTAGACACGTTGGCATTGGTATTTAGGTCTTTTGGGATTCGACAGCCTTTTAGATTGCGTTTGCACGTTGGGCTATTGCCTCTAGAGTGTCCGAGGACACGTTGGCATCTGTGTTACGAAGTGTATGGTAATTCCACGGATCTCCACCTTCTCAATACGATCGAGAATTGAGAGAAGGCTTCGCGCGACCACTTCGGATTACCTTGACGCCTCCACCGCGGTGGACGTCTCTCTTCGCGACATCTCCCGTATTGCATACCGAGTATCAGCGCCGACAGAACTTAGTACGGTCGGGCTCACGACTCCGCGCGAGTCATCATTTCATCTCTCACGCGAGCCAAGCTCGCTATTGCTTCGCTGCCAGGGCCGCAGCTTTCACGCGAGGCATGCTCGCTATTGCTACGCTGCCAGGGCCGCAACTCTCACGCGAGACACGCTCGCTATTACTTCCCTGCCAGGGGCACAGCGTTCTCGCGACACACGATCGCTGGCCTAAGTCTACTCAAGACTCCTACGTCGTCGCATCCGCGACTCCATCCGCGAGGAATATTTGCTTCTCGTCTCGACGAAACTTAGCATTCGTCACGCACGCGGTATTATCAACGCACGTTTACGGTTACGTGTACGTCAACGTCAGGCTTCGACTCGGCCGCGTACGCGATTCAGAGTTACGTTTGCGTTTAGGCTCTCACTACGAGACATAGCATTTGCCGCGTGCGCGACTGTTCAAGGCGAGTTCAGCTCGCCAATCTAACATCCCAGCTTCAACCTCTGTTGCTCCCTCGCCAACCTGAGCTGAATTTTGTTCGGACTTGACTCTGACACTCACAAGGAAGACGAATAAGTGTCTCCATACTCTGAGTGATTATTATCCTCCGAAAGGGGGAATCCTTCCCAGCGCGGAGGCGCCGGGCAATTCCACGCGTGTCCTTCACTGGGCGACGCCGTGCTCTTATGCACAAGAGCACTCTCGTACTTTCCCCAAACCATCTTACAGGGCTCCTGGATAGGAGAGCACGCATTTATACTCGCGCAATTGACGATAGCAGTCGACGAACGTTCGACGGCATCTGAACTAGCCGCTCACCGCCTAAGGCTGTTCGAAACACATTTGTTTTCGTACATAAATATACCATATGTATACAATACAAAGCGTCTCTTAGTCAAAGTGATAGTGGCGCAATAGGTAAGTAAATGACTCAAGAACTCAGAGGTCTCAGGTTCGAATCTCGGCAATACACAGTGGATCAGAAGCATGGAAAAAGTTGCCAAAAATCGATTTTGGAAAGTAGAGTAGAAGAGTATTTTATTATAATATGTAGCTCTTCTTACAACTTTTTCCAAAGTTTTATGATAATTAAACAGTTACCATCCATATAGCAACCATTTGAATTTTTAAAATGTAGTTTTTGTATCATTGATTCTCTTTGCAAAGAAAATCGTTCAGTTTATTATATATTCAAGAATAAAACGCTTGTTAATTTTTTTTCGTACTTTGAAGACATTAATTATTAAAAAAAATTACATTCGGCAATACGTCTGTAGCCAAATAGTACACCATTGTCTTCGAATATACTGTACTTTTTCAGCTGCGGAAGCTCTTTCAAAACGTGATAACAAGCGATAACAGCAGTTATCACTGAAAATAAGGCATCATTATATGCGCATTTATATATATTTTAGGAAAATCATGCGCATTTTTGCGCGTTTTCATACATTTCACCAAAATTTACAAATTAATAGAGGAAAGTAGTCAAAAGCGACATATGCCTTCTAAAGCGACATACCTCTATACCTCTATATCTATCTCTATATCTATTCTCTATACCTCTATATTTCTATATGAAAGCTTTGATGTTTGAGGTTTGCCAGTGAAGTCATGCGTAGGAAGGAGTCTGCAGAAAGGGAGAGACAAAATAACCTAACCCGGATCATAATCGTGCTATGGAGGCATACGTTTGCACCTTTGACCAGAGGGCGTTTGACGCAGCGATTGGTGCGCTGAATAGCGGCCAGTATGAAAAGATGAACAAAATTATCGATATGATGAACGGAAAGCACATCATCTTCGCTGTTGAAGTATGCGAAGACGCCACCCTCCCTGAACAGGTTGAGGAGTTAAGGTTAGACTCTCCCGAATTTGCGTCCGCTAAGCCCAGTGATTGTGTGGTGGAGCGCCACAATGCAGTCGTGACAAAAGTTACGATAAATTTTCGGTCAACTGATTCGATCCCTGTGGGACGTTGTGATCCTGCAGAATGTGTAGAGTGTCCGCCCTTAGATGGTGCAATTGCCGTTCCAACATCAACGGCTATATTGTATTGTGGTCCAGGTGGTGGGAAAACCACCTTATTGAAAGGTCTCCCGGTTGAGTTGAGGCGTAGGATCTACGATACAGATCATCTTAGAGATGGGGATAGTGTACTACCCCACACTTTGCTCCTTACTAATAGACCTGACATCTTTGAGAGTCATAAGGGGCCTAAGATTGCCTACCTCCCGTATAAGAAACAGTGGCTTAAGATGTGCTTAAGCAAATGCTCACAATGCATCGAGCAATGGTACCATGACGCTTGCGCGTCCATTAGATCTGCTCTGCTTGTGCGTGGAATATCTTATCTCGCTGAGTGTGTTCGCATAGTTGCTGATCCTAGGTAACACCGGTGATATGAAGGAAAACATTAAACCCATCAGGCCAATAATAGACGTAATATGTATTTTATGCTGTAATGGTCTTTTGTCTGGTGAAAGATATTTAAATGGTGAAAGATCGTGCTCCATAGCACAATTATCTCTCTTGAGACCAAGCACTACACACTTCAAGTATGTGTTGAGCACTGTCTATTCCAATATTGCAGTGTGCACACACGTTGGTTACGTCTTTCCCGATACGATGTAAGTACTCGCGAAAACAACCGTGACCTGTTAGAAGTTGGGTCATGTGAAAATTCACACCCCTCCTTTTTTGCCGATCTGTCCACGTCCAAAAATTAGAAGTAATGGCATCCCAGGTACGCGCACCGGATAAACCTCTGTCGGAGATGGATTTCCCATTGCCGGAAAAGAAGCAATTTTTCACCTTCCTTAACATCCAATTCCTCTTCTGGTGTCCATAAACCAAATGTCTTAAGATCTCTGATTCGCTCATATGTTCTATTGAGGAAAGCAGCATACAAATAGAGCGGAGGTATTCGCGCCAACAAGGTTGCGGCCTCAAAGGACACAGATCTATAGGCAGCTATGACTCTAATACCTACAAACCGTTGTACTCTGAGAATTGGCGCCTGGCCCCTACGAGCAATCGAGGTAGTTGGTCTCATGGCATCGTGCCACACAGGTGCACCGTAGAGCATTACAGACAGAACTACGGTCGCGTAGAGTCTTCTCTTCCCTTCACTTGGCCCTCGAAGGTTAGGCATGAGCCGTCCTAACGTTTTGGCCACCTTCATTGTCTTGTCAGCCGCGTAACGAAAATGATCGTGAAATTTCCACCTGCTGTCGAGGATGAGCCCAAGATATTTCATTGATCTACCAACACGGATGTAAGTGTGTCCAACTGATCTCGGGCAGATGCTCGTGTCTTCTGCGACCATGAAACAAAACAGCCTCAGTCTTCTCCGCAGCAACAGTGAGACCCAACTGTTTAATCTTGCGAACCACAGCAGCCGTCTGAAGGTTGGTCCTAATTACGGCATCCTCGACAGTTCCAGCCAAATATAACCAAAATGTCGTCTGCGTATTCGACAATGTGACACTCGTCAAATTTTCTGCTTCTGAGCACCGCGTCGTACGCAATATTCCAGAGCAGAGGTCGGCAGCTTAGCAAACTTTCCTCTCTTTTCGGGACGGCTCCGCCTTCCGTTGTTCCCCTTACCTTGACACCCCGCGAGTAGCCTACGAGTCGCTCGAGCTTCAGGAGCGTCGTGCATATATATCGTGCTATGGGATCCTTAGACGGGAGAAAAATAAGAAAACTTGAAAATATTTTTTTAAAGATGTAATATATACTGCAAAAGTTTAATTTTAATTATGATATTTGTTTTCAATAGTTTTCCACGTCACCCTTGAGGTACTATTGCTGACGCGTTTTTTTTTAAGTGGTATCCCCAGTAGGCCTAATCCACTAATAATGAAGAAGACTGGACAGAAGCAGAATGAGCAGAAGCATACATGTACGAAGAGCAATTAATTTTAATTTTATTTTCGACGTTTTTTAAAGGCGAGAGAAGGAATATCCACCTGAATATTCGAAGTAGCGACCCGCATAAGACACGATAAAGAATCGTCGCTTAACAAAGAACGTTTCTCATTTTTAATAAACTTCATTTTAGAAAATGAAGTCTCACATAGATACGTGGATCCAAACATAGAATGAATGCGCAATCCAAAATCCCGAAGCTTGGGATATGAAAATTCTTTCAAAATTTTGAAGAAATTGACACCGGTTTCTTTAAATGTTTTCAATGAAATATCATTCTGCAAATTGCATAATTCATCTTGCAAATCTAAATGCTGTTCTTCGATTAGCGTTGTTAAAGGATTCTCGAAAAGAATCAATTCATTTCTAAGTTTTTCAAAACACGTGAAGCGTGTATCGAATTCGTTAATAAGAGAATCCACGAAATGGACATGTTCCTGAAAATTATAGTTATTGCCTTGTTCTTCGAGAAGAATCTGGCAAGAAGGAAAGAAGTGAAAAACACCATTATCTATGTGAAATTTTAGTAACTGTAATTTCCTTCGGAAAGAATCTACGTGACTGACTAATTGAGAAATATTTTGATTTTTCCGTTGCAGCTTTAAATTGAGAAATCTAAGTTGATTTGTCAAGTCAGTAATGAAGGCAACTTCATTAAGAAATTTGGTATCTTCCAAAAAGAATATATATTCTTGGAAATTTGGATTTTTTATTTCTTGCAAGAAAAGGAGGATCTCTTTTCTTATTGCAAAAAATATTTCCAAACATTTTGCTGCACTAAGCCAACGTACTGGGCAATAAAGCGGAACATCAGTGTGAACAGCATTATGTTCGTGGAGAAACTGTTGAAATTTTCGGTGGGTAAGGAACTTCTGTCCACCTTTAATTGCATTTATTATTTTTGTAACAGTTTCCATAGCAGTTGAAAGTTTAATAGCTTTAGCAGATAATGCTTCCTGATGAATTATACAATGTATAATAGGGATATCAATATTTCGCTGCTTTAATTGACCGACGAATCCTATCTTCGAACCTGTCATAGCTTTTGCACCATCAGTTGCAATCGAAGAACATTTAGTAAAATCTAAATCAAAATTTTTAAGGGATTTTTCAACTGCTAAAAAGATATCGAGACCTGTTGTAGTGGTATGTAATGGGATGAAATCTAGAAGCTCCTCGACACATGAAAAATCGTCTTGCACGATTCGAGTAAAAATACTCAATTGACTCATGTGTCGAATATCGGTGCTCTCATCAAGACATAAAGAAAAATATTTGCATGACTTTAGAAGAATTTTTAATTTATCTCTTATCGAATCACTGATATCTGAAATTCTTGAAGATATAGTTTTTGCACTGAGGGGAATGCTCATTGCTTCATCAACAGTCAACGAATTGCCAAAAGCCTTTACTGTTTCGATGATACAGTTTTTTATAAAAGTACCTTCGGTAAATGGTTTCGAACTTTGTGCTATGAGCAAAGAAATATTATAAGAGGCTTCAATAGATTCTTGAGAAGAAATATGATTAGAAGAAGAAGAAGAGGATTCAAGGGATTTTTTAGAAGAAGCACCTTCATTAGAAGAAGCAGTGCAAGAAGTAGAAGGTATGGAACTTTCTTTATACACTAACTTTAACCCTTCGATAATATTTAATTTTTCTGCAATAGAATAATTTGAATATTTTAATGCATGACGATGATTGAAATGACTCTGAAGTGTATATTTTTTAACCGTGAAAGGTTGAAAGCCGCAAAGTAAGCAAATTGTTTTACTGGAAATGTTAGTGAAAAAATAATTTAATTCCCAACATTTTTCAAAAACTGCTGTTACACGTTTGGTATGCCTCCGTTTAGCCATTATCAAAATAAATGAGTAAAAATATAAGCAAAATATATACTTCCTTTCCGTCCGGAACGAATGATTCCTTGTCCGCCGATAAGCCCCCGCCAACCGATAGTTTATTAGCGATAAAAGTGCAACTGATTTATTGAAAGTTTAATAGCTTTACCAGATAATGCAACACAAGAACAATCACTTTTGATTCTACGAAAGAAAGCTGTAACTGACTTTGTCGTTTCTATCTCAAGTGTTATCCTGGTATGTTTCAGCGAAAAGAATACGTTAAGAAACAAATGCCGACAG